TAATTTATGTTTGCTTATCATTTCTCATCTATAAAATGCTTCTTCTGCTGAGAGCCACAGAGGTGTTTTCGGGTACAACCTGGATTTGTATTTATTCCATATTCTCAAAATGGCATGTCTGACATAATGATTCTTAAAATCTACATTAACCTTAGCTTTATCATACCGCAAGTATCCATGTATTTGGCATCTTGTGGGAACCCAGCCATTGTTTGCACATTTTATGATAGTTCATCATCTTAAGTCATAATTAGATGCACTTCTTTGGGCAGAACAAGTGCTGCCAGTACAGCCCTACCATCTTCTAATAAAACTTGAAGTAAGAAATAGAACGATTGACACTTAACACTTGTTCCCACTATCAGCAGGACAAGAGCAAGAAACACACATGAAACACAGGACGCTTCTTTCTACCAAGTAAGACTTTGGGTCGTCTAATCCAGGCTGCTTTCACGTATCACACTAAAACATAATGTAGATTGCTGGATTTGGGTTTCATGTAGTTCTCTGCTAAGCCAATTGTGGTTTGTAAACCATAATTTATGGCTTAGAGCATTGTGTGAATGCAGCCTGTTTGTCTTAATTCAACAAGCCACATTTTAAAAATAAATATAATTTGGTGTGATGTGTGAAGAAAGGCTGATTTGAAGCTGCTGAGATTTAATAGAGCCTTGTACAAGCAAAGCTTCACCACAGGCCTGCAGTACCTCCCCGTCTCATAACTGTGGACAAGATGTCAGGCGTCCCCTGACCTCTAGAATACAGTCCCACTGACCTCTAGAATACAGTATGACAGCTAGTGCAGGACCCAGAAGGCCTGTCCAGGCATTGAAGGTGAAAGTTTCTCAGCTGAGTCTCTCCTTCTGTGGGAACAGATGCAAAAATGCTAGAAGGAGGATTAGAAATAAAGCTAAGTCTGGGGAACTACAGGAAAACATGGGAAATGGGTTTAAATTGTTTATATGTTAAACAGCCTGTCCCAACTGCTGTCCAGGGAGAACTGTGCCAAGGACTGTTGCTGAGGCTGAATCAGACTGAAACAGGCTGACAGAGTTTCTGGCTGCTGGCTTCTGCAGGGAAGAAAAGCCACACTCAGGCTGCCAAGTGGAAGAGCCCTAAGACTCCTTCATTTTCAGTGAGAGATAAAATCCACAAAGCCACTGTACTGTGCCTGCATCCCATGCCTGATTCTGGAGGATACATGATGCTTCAAGCCTTCCTGCCCACCCAACACTGCTGGCCCTGCCAACAGTGTCTGCCGCTGACCTGGAAAGGGTCAGTGTGATCAAGCTCTGCTGCCAAAGCTCTAGCACGCACTAGAGGAGGGCAGGGGTCAAACTGAAGGTCTCAGAAGAAACTAGCAGAACCAACTGGAGCCACCCAGTTGCCAGCACATGCATGTCTTTTCAGGATACCTCCACAATGTGCATCAACATGTCCTAATTGCCTGCACCCAGTGTCCTGAGATGGAATAAGAGGGAAAATCCAGAGTGGCCTGCAACCTTAAATCTTCCTTAAGCTGCCTCAGCTGTGGGAGCACAATGAGATACATGGGGAGGCATGCAGACATGTGCTCAGGAAATACTTAGCAGGCTACCTTTGTGCCAGGACAAAGCAGCTGTTTAGATCTGCCCAGAGCTCATCAATTGTCTGAACTGACTGCTAATCTGTTGGCAGGAGAATAGTCCTTGGCTGTGCGATTCCCTGAGAAAGCAGTAGCCACCGACAATGTCACATTCAGGCTAAGTTCCCATCCCAGATTAATAAAATATCCTGTCCAGGGTGGCCTGGTTCTTGTGAGACATTAAGACAACAGCTGGCTTTTCCAAACATATTAAACCACAAGCTATCCAAACCCATCTGAGTCTAGCCAACATGTGTGAAACCAGCCATACTGCCGAGGCCTTACCAATTTAGGGCCAGGCAGAATGTTACTTGAGGTGTCTCCTGGAAGCCAGCAGTCTCTCCATAAAATCCACCAAGATCTACTAGAGCCAACAGTTCCCTCCATCCACCCTCAAAACCAAAAGAAAGTTGATGGGCACAACTGGCACCTTCCCTATAGTAGAGCTCGGCTTGCAGGCCAAGCTGTTGACTCAGAGGAGTTTCTCAGGAAGAACTCAGCGACAATCATCTCTTGCTGCAGGTTGTTCTTTCTATGTGCTGCTCAGATGAACCATGCATTCCGCATACATTTGATAAACATCAGTTTGCATATAGAACTAATAGATCCACAGAGGACACTATAGCCATCACT